CCTTCAGAGACTAAAGCTTTTGTGCTCAGCATCCTTTCTTTGGTATTCATCCAACTCCTTTAATGTGTCAAACATTTGTTTTTCTATGTTTTTAAGTAGTGTTTTATTGTATGAATGTACTGTAGTTTGTCTATCTGTCAGCTGAAGGGCAAGTGGGTTGCTTCCATCTTTGCCAATTATGAATAGAACTATTGCACACTTTTGGTCTTGTGTGAGCAGAAATGTCCATTTCTTTGGGGTGGGCACTCGGATGTAGGACTGCAGACAGATGCAGCAAATGAATGTTCCACTTTGTGAGGCACTTGCAAGCTCTTTTCTGGAGTGTGTCCCCGCTCCCACCTCCAAGACAATGCAGGAAAGTTGCTCTGTGTTCTTGTCAGCTCGTGGTAATGTCTGTTGTTTCGGTTTCAGCTGTTCTCATGGCTTTGTAGTTGTATCGCATCTAGATTTAATTTGCTTTAATAGCTAATGATATTGGATGTTTTCTCACATGTTTGCTTGTCATTCTGCATTCTGTTTGATTAACTGCCTATTTTTATGTCTTGTGCCTTTTTTTTTTTTCCTTCACAGTACTAGGGTTTGAACTCAGGACCCTGTGCTCACCAGGCAGGCACTTATTCTTCTAAGCTATCTCTCCAGCCCCTTGTGACCTTTCTAAAAATAGTGTTGCTTTTTTTTGTTATCTTTGAGAGTTGTTAGTATGCATGTGAATTGACATGTAATTTTCTCCCAGTTTGTAGTTTATCTTTTTGTTCTCTGAAAAGTGTGTTTCACAGAGCAAAGGTGATTTAATAAAGTCTATCTTACCAGTTTTTTCTTTTATGAAGTACTTCCTGTGCCATACCTGTGAACTCGTTGCCCAGCCCAAGGTCAAGGGTTTTCTTCTTAGTTTCATAGGCTTGCATTTTACATTTAGATGTACAATTGTCTTAGTTACTTTTCTTTTCTTTTTTTTATGAGCAGAATATATTTATTGAGAGAAAGAAAGCTCCTGTCCGAGAGAAGGACAGGAGGGGGGCCCGAGCGGGTAGTTCTCCCAAGTTACTTTTCTTATTACTGAGACAAAGTACTAGATAGCCCAAGTTAAAAGGAGAAATGTTTATTTGCCTCACAGTTTGTGGAGGTTTCAGCCCATCATAGGTTGGCTCTGAGGCTCATGGCATGGCAGAGAGGCATTCCAGTGGAGAAACAGCTTATCGTGGGCAGGTGGCAGCAAAGCAAGGGAGTTGCAGCTTTTGTCTGATCCTTTTCACTTCTGCAGGCTACTGGGATTAGTGTGGTGCCACACCAGTCAGTGGACTAATTTAGTAAACAGCCACCCCAAACCCCAGGACATTTAATCTTAGCATTGTACTATCCATCAATCATACACTCTAGATTAATCCTCCTCTTGATAAAGCCCTGCCTATGACCACATGAGGGTTTGGAGGGACATCTAGACACAAGCTATAACAACTATCTATTTTGAGTTGATTTTTATAAGGTATGATATTCAGATGAAAATTTACCTTTTGGTTCTACATTATTTCTTGGAACTTCTATCTTCTGTCCATTGAGCTGTTTTCAAACTTTGTCAAAACTCAGTTGACTGCATTTGTGTGAATCTATTTCTAGAATCGTTATTTCATTCCACTGGCCTATATGTTTACACCGTGTTTTGATTATTGTAACTATAGTATGTCTTAAAATTGGGCAGGGTAAGCCCTCACATTTTAGTCTTCTTTTTCAGAATCGCTTTCCCTCTCTCCCTCCCTGCTTTGTCTCTCTGTCTCTGCCTCTGTCTCTGTGTCTTGTTCTCTCTCTCTCTCTCTCTCTCTCTCTCTCTCTCTCTCTCTCTCTCTCTCTGCCACTTCATCTCTCCAAGTTTTAGAGTTAATTTATCTATGAGAAATCCTGCTGATAGGTTGATTGATAGTGCATGGACTCTATAGCTCAACTTGAGGATAATTTACATTTTTGCAACTTTGAGCCTTCCAACCTATAAGCATTCTGTGTTTGTACAGTTACTTAGGTCCTCTTTAATTTCTTTCACCAGAATTTTGTAGATTTAATATATGAACTCCATGCATGCTTTGTTAGATGTACACTTACTTCATTTTGAAAATATTATAAATGTTGCAGACATTCAGTGTCGAGTTTTAATTTGGCATTAGCAGTTGTATTTGCTTTTATGGGCGTTACAGCAACCACTCCCCATTTGCTGCCTACAACAACAGAAGCATATTCTCTCAGTGTAGAAGACACAAGTCCACAGCTAGCTTTGCATGGCAGGCAAAGTCGCGGCCGGGCAGTGCTCCCTTTGGAGCTCCGAGGGGAGCTGCTGCTTGCTGCGGCTTCCCCTGGCAGCTTCGGGTGATCCTTGGCTTGTCCTTGTGATTCCAGCTTCTCCTCTGTCTTTCCCCTGCCACCCCATCCCCCTTGGGTTCAGTCTCCTATCGTCTCCCACTCGTAAGGACACTTGTGATGGCATTGAGATCCCACCTGGCAAGGTGGAGTGATCTTCCCATCTCTGAACCCTTAGTCATATCTGCAAAACTGTTGCCATAGCACGTGAGCATCACAAGTCCTAGAAATGAGGGCCTGACGTCTTTGAGGACATGTTTCAGCCTAATGTATTAGTTTCTAGTAACCAAGATATTGTGTGTGTGTGTGTGTGTGTGTGTGTGTGTGTGTGTGTGTTGACCTTGCATCCTTCAACCTTGTCAACCTTGTTAATTGTAGGATGGGGGGGTAGAGTTCTTTTCTACATAGACAGTCATGGGATCTACAAGTAAGGATGCTCTCTTTCCAATCTCTGTGAATTTCATTTCTTTCTCTTGCCTTTTTTTTAAACCAAAACTTTCAATATAATATCAAATAGTATAAAACCCAGCATCTCTACCACACAGTGACAGCAGCAGCCTTTCCCTCACTGTGCTCTCAGCCCTGCTCTCTGGCCTTGGAGTTGGCTGACTTTGGGCGAAATGTGAACCAGAACAGACTTCCTCACGGTGTGGGCGACGGGTGTGGGGCCTCAGTGACGAGGAGGCACCTAAGAGGGTGGCGCTGAAATTGTTTTATTTTCATTTAGTTCAAAATATTTTCTAGAGCTATTTGAGACTTTTCAACTCACTGATTATTTAGAAGGGTTTTTTTAAAAACATATGTACATTTATTTTGAGATTTGTCTATTATCTTTTGTATCTCTTTTTTATGTATTTGGTACAAGGTCTCACTACACAGCTTGGACTTGTAGTGATCCTCCTGTTTTCTAACTCCCCAGTGCTGGGATTACAGGAGTGTGCCACCATGCCAGGACTCGGTTGCCGGTGTGGCATGTGCTACGGGGGATCAAACCCTAGTCCCTGCAGGTGCTTAGTCTGCTGAGCTATCTTGCCAGCCCCTTGGTATTATCTTTTGGACAGCACATTGATTTCTAACTTATTCCATTATGCTGTGTAAGTGTCACCGGCTGGCATGGACTCTTAAACACGTAGGATGGAAATCAGATGTGGCCAGTTCTTGAGTCTTCTGATGTCTGTCACATTGTCCACCTCTTCTTCAAGGTCCTCTAAAGGGCAGGACCCTTGTATGCACTTATAAGATGTCACTAATCAACTAAGCATTCTTGCTGAATTTGTATAGAAATCACAACTTGCACACACAATGGCTGACTATGGAAACAACCTAAATGCCCAACAACAGATGAACGGATAAAGAAAAAAATATTATATATACATATATATGAATATTCTATATCTGTAGGGAATGATAAATTTGATTCATTTGTAGGGAAATAGATGGATCTTGATATAATGAGCAAATTAAATCAAATACAGAGGTTAAGTATCTCATGTTTTGCTTATATAAGAGACCCACACTGTAGATAAAATAAAGGAGAGATGGCAGGAAGCAGGGCGGCAGACTTCTGTGGGTTGGGGAGGGGCACAAGGAGAAGAGGGAGAGAGGAGGGAAAGGCAGGGACGGGGATAAAAAGTCAAAGTGCCACATGTGTGTGCCAATTTCCCAAACTGAATGTAATTATTACGCATTACATAGACCAATACAATTAATTTTTAAAAATAATGCGCAAATAGTCAAAGTTTTCTAATGTTCACAGCTTGAGCTTGGAACGCCAGCTCTTAAGGTTAGCAGCTCCCCAGTGGACCATGGACTCCCCAGCTGCCAGTGGACCGTGGACTCCGCGGCCACCAGAGGTGGTGACTCTTGACAGCTCTGTTCTCTGCTGCTCACTGCTTTCTGCGTTACCAGTCCTGGCTGCTGGCAGCTCTTGGCACCACAGGAGATAGAAATCATGAATAGGAAAAAAAAAAAGCCAGTTTACTTAGGATTTAGGCCATGGAATAGAAAACAGCACAGGGCCTGATCCTGCTGAAGGTACAGGGAGGTTGCTTACACAGGGAAAGGGGTGGACTCAAAATGCACTGTCCTACCTTCTCTTTGCTTGTGGCCAGGGAGGGGGCGGGGGGACCTGTGGACCTAAGTGCGGAGAGATGTGGAGGACATGGTCATCCAGAGCCTGCGGAGTCGCTGGGCGCCGTCTGTCTGTGGTCTTCAGCTGTCAAAGCGAATGCCGCCAGAGCTTGCGGTGCTTGGCATAGCCACAGAATAGAAGTACCATATAAAGTGCCTCTTGGGAACTATTGCACCCTTCTCTCCTGTCTTAAATGCACTTGCATAATTTTATTTGTTGACTTGGTAGAGGCTGTTTCATGACCAAGAGTGTGGCTTCTCTTGTGGAGTGCTGGTTCTCTGGATGCTGGGTTTTCTGTAAAAAACTAAACCTCTAAAATGGGCCCATTGGGCTGGAGAGAGGGCTCAGTGGAGTAAACGCTTCCCTGGCAAGCACAGGGCCCGAGTTCAATCTCTGGTTCTGCAAATAAATAAATAAATAAATAAATAAAATTTAAAAATAAAAATAAATAAAATGGGCCTGTTATTTTGCAAAGTCACTTAAGATGTCATGGAAGTGGTCACAGCCAATTCTCTGCTTTGTCTAGAACTTTAAAGATGTGAGGAGTGATGAAGAGGAAGAAGAGGAGGAAGAAGAGGAGGAGGAAGGGAAGGAGGAAGCTACCAAAGGCAAAGAGAGAAACTGTTTGAAGAATGGCCTTGGAACCAACAAGCACCTCATCCCCAATGGTCAGCATGGTCGTTAGTTTGAAGCCTACACGATGCCCACATAGAGTGTGCTGCAAGGACTGTTGGGAGCCTGCTACGCTCCCTAATCATTTTTCTGTGGCCAAGAGAACCACAGAGATCCCAGAATCTGCCCTTCCCTCTCTCTTTTTTGTTCCCTCCTATGATGTATTTAACAAAATGTTGCTAATTTGTGTTAAAGTATTAAATATGTGCATGGCTATGAATTTTACTATAGCTAGGATGCAGGCTGGTCAGAAATGTCAGAGATTTCTCCAGAGCTCTGCCTCAGTTCTAATTGTGCTCACTCATGCCCTTGAGAGCCATTGACTTTTTCAGGGCTGGCTTTGCAGCAGCCCTTGCCCCTCTCACCGTGCCCAGCTTCAGGATGGTTTTAGCAGTGCTAAGGGGACCTGCGCCCTTCCAGGCACACTCAGCCCCAGAGAGCAGCTCATTTTTTGGAGCAACGTCAGGAGCAGTAGTGGGACAGTTGCAGAAGGACCAGACAAGACACAAGGTCTAGGGTTTGCGACCATCTCCTGCTGTGGTAGCTCAGGCTGCGGTCTGTTGTACAGTGGTTCTGCTTGCTGTGTGGGTGGGTGAGGGTGAGGATCTGGTGAGATGAGAGGACGAATTGCACATTGTCCCTGAGGGTTGTTAACGACCATCTCCATGCTATGATTCCCACAGTTTGAAAGACAGAAGCCTGGCTCTGCTTGGGATAAGTGAGCAGAAATCAAAGGTAGAATCCTATGTAATTCCCCCAAATGGGTCTGAGATGCCCAGAGATGCAGATACCCTGAGGGCTGTCTCCAGCTGGTTCGCTGACTGCACAGTTGTTTCCCCAAGGATAGTTCTTAAGCTCCTCTGGAAATCTGCCCCCGAGGTCCTGTGGCCAAGGGAATTTTGGCATGTTTGCTCTTTATCTTTTGCTGGTTTTCATTGTTTTCCTCCCTAAGAGGGAAGCTTCCTTAAGCTACCCTGAGCCCTTTCTTTGGGCCAGCTGAGTTTCCCATGGACTGTAGGTGTCCAAGGGGGCCCTAGCAGGGAGGTAGGGTGCAGGCCAGGTTGCACCATGTCGCCTGCACAACCTGAGCCTCTGTGTGGCATTCGTGGGAGCCGTCTGGCCTAAAGAGGTCTTAGGATCAGAAAGAGGCAGCCACGGTTTTCATCGCCATCACCCAGCCAGTCACACTGCGTATGTAAAACACAACATGAAAGCCCACAGGGACGTCTAAGCACAGGCACCGAGTCACCTCCAGCCCTCTATGAGGGGCATGGGCATTGTTGGATCGGGGCTGGCTCTGTCTCCCCCTCCTCCGGGAAGGGCAAATGGGAGCACTTCAACACATCCTGTCCCCTCTGCAGCTTTGTCTCTGCAGGGGACCACATCCTGGGCACAGTGGGCAGTGCTGACCTCAGGGCCTTTTCGGGTCCCCTTGAGTTGAGGCTGAGCCTTCCCGAGAACGTGCTTGTGCACGGTGTACCTGCTCCCTTCACCCTCAGCCTGCCCCTCACAGTTGGGGTTCAATTTTGTGTCATCATCCTGTTTTGCTCAGGGTTCTGGCTATAAAGCCCCATGCACAGTGGGACTGTGGCCCCTCGAAGGTGAGACCCACATGGCAGGCTGCCTGCGTCCAGTAGCAAGGGCCCTGCATTCTGAGAAGTTCTGAGATTTGGGGGTTTTAATGAAAGTAGGTTTGTAAAACCTGCAAGCCAAGCAAAAACAAGAGGACAAAACCCTCTAGAATTTTTTTCCCCAACAAAATTTCTTGTTGTAGAATCCTGGGAAAAAAACAAATCTCAAATTTTCTCTGCTTATTATTTGCTTCTCTAAGTACTGTAACTTACGCATTGATGTAGAATGTGATATCATATATGAGAAATGACTTCACCCGAGGGCATAATTCTTCATTTATTGTTATATTGTTATTATAATTGTTCTTGAGGAGATTTTCACACTAAAGTATTATTTGTTATGTTTCCACTCCACAGAGTATTTTTCCACTTAACAGTATTTTCCACTAAACAGAGTATTAGCAGTCTATTATTTTCTTCATTTATTTTGGTTTTGTCTTGGTACCAGATCTCTTCTTGCTTAAAGTAAACAATTATTTATTTGCTGCTGTATCCTGCAATTTCTCCCCTCATTTTATTATTGAATTTAAAATTAATACACCAAGCTCCATGTTCTCTAATGCAGCTAGAAGCACTAAACTAATGTCCTACGAAGTGGATGCACATTTCTGTAACATCCTTCAGGTCTTTTGTGCTTAATTTTAGAGGTGACCTCCTTTCTACAGGAAGTAAGGACATAGGACTATGTGAGATGACTGTATTAAATTGGCAGCCACAGTGTCCTCAGTATTGCTGTAACGGTTATGGCTTAAAATAAAGTTAAAATGTGGGGCATGTGGTGACTGAGTGGACTCAGGGCACACATTGCTTGGCTTCTTAGGCATAAATGATCTCCTTGCACAGTGGAGACAGAGATTTGCCTGCAGAAAGACTCCACTGGGCCCTGGGAGGAACCAGCAGAGGGAGCCAGGTGTGGACAGGCTGGTGATGTCAGACACGGGTGGGGTGGGCTGGCACCGCAGAGGTTCAGGTTGTGAGGTGTCTCCGGTACATGAAGAGGAATCTTTATTTTGGAGATAATTTTAAAAACTAAAAACAATATAGTATTTCAAGACAAGCTGATAGGAAATTAACACTGGTTATTATATTGCATATTATTATCTTCAAAGTGGTTGCTTGGATGATCAGAGACAGGCAGGCAAAGTTGATCAAAGAATATAAGCACTAACTGTTCCTTTCAGCGAACTCATAGAAGTTAGTAGTGCAATCAGCGATCTTATAATTATCTTAGCTATATATCTCTATCTAGCTATATATATCTCTATATATATATATATATATATATATATATATATATATGTTGCTTTTTCCTTTCTTCTTCTCCTTTTCCCCATCCCCATTGTTCTTTCCTTTTGAGCAGTTTGGAAATAATGAAAATTGAAGCCCAATATGCTGTTGTAACTGTACTTACCACCCAAGTTCTAGTACCAGACAAAGGAAGGCGAACGAGTGGACAGCAAAAGGAATGTTTGATAACAATGAAAGGGCTAAATCCTCCAGAAAACATGAAAACTCCCCTGATATAACTTCAAAATATACTAATAAAAAATTGACAAAATACCAAGGAGTAACGAATTCATAATCATATTTGGGTGGTTTAACACATCTCTCAGTGTTTGATAGAATAAGAAGCCAAAAACATCAGTAAGAGTAGAAGATTTTAACAGTGAACTTCACAAAATTTAATTAACACTGTACCTAGTAATTGCAGATACACGTTCTTTCTCGTACACACTCACATTTGCTAGACTAGGCCTTAAAGCAAACCCAAAACATTTCAAATGCTTAAAGTCACATAGAATATGGGCTTAAACCGGAAACTTAGAACCAGAAGTAGCGAAGCTTCTACCTATTGCATCCTTAAATCAAGTGATACACTTATAAGGGCACATGGAGCAAATCCAAAGCTTCTTCTCGAATTCCTTTGGAAAAGTGTTGAAGAGGGAGGAATCACGCTACCCAACACGAAGGCACAGCGTGCAGCTGCAGGGACCTTGCTGGGTTGGCAGAGACTCATGAGAGTGGCTAGGGCAGCCTCAGCAGGCAGGGGTCAGAGTGCAGCGACAGAGCCCTCGCCTTGCCCGGGCTTTCGCCCCAGCATTGGGCGGTGGGGCGGGGGACCCATGTGAATGTGGCCAGGTGATTTGTGACAGAGCCGCAGAAGCAGTCCGGTGGGGAAAGGTGCGCCTTTTCAGTAAGCAGTGCCAGCATCTGGGTGCTGCGCGATCCGAACCTCACAGTCCTGCGAGCTGACTGCGCAGGACTGCGAGCTGTGGATGCAAAGCTATAAAGTTTTAGACAATGTAACAGAAAACTCTCACATTCTTGATGTAGACAGTTTTACACTGACATTAAAAGCATAATCCATAAAAGGAAAAATTAATCAAATATTATCAAATTGAAAAAATGACTCTGTTAAGGACCTCCTTGAGCAGATGAGAAACTAAATTCTTTCCTTAGAAAAACTAAGAAATAAACACACATGCCTGACAGAAGACTGGGGTGCAGGATACTTACATACCTTTCGAAACTACCCCTCCACCAAGATGATTTTGTGGAGCGCCATTTCCTGTGCTTGGCATTAGGAAAGCAATGGGTCATCACTGAGGATCACTCAGTAGAAAGGTCAATTTAAAAAAAAAAATATTTATTTATTTATTTATTTATTTATTTATTGGGTCTCATTACACAGGTCAGACTTGTAGTGATTCTCCTGTCTCAGCCTCCCCAGACCTGGGGTTACAGGTGTGCGCCACCATACAGGACTTGGTGGCCAGCATGGCAGGCGGCAGGGCATGTGGTACCAGCGAGCTAAACCCAGCACCTTGCACTTGCCAGGCAGGCACTTAGACCGCTGAGCTATCTCCCCAGCCTTGAGTGATTGATTTTTAAATGAGAGTTAAGCCCAGCCAGGAACCTGGTGCTGCAAGATGGTTGGTCACACATGGTCCCATGGCAAAGGTCCCTGCCTCTTCGGCCCTGCCAGAACGTGGCTTTGGTATAGCGTGTGTAAGAGGGGTGAAGTCCTTCCCCCAGAAATTTGAGCAGGTGCCCCACACCTGCCCCTCAAGGTTGGTCAGAATTCCCTCACTGAGAGCAGGCTGCTTACTTTTTTCTCTTTTTGTCTTTTTGAGACAGAATCTCATTGTGCAGCTCAGGCTGGCTTTGAGCTCACTTTGTAGCCCAGACTGGCTTCAAACTCACCATGATCCTCCTGCCTCAGCCTCCCCAGTGCAGGGATGGCAGGCGTGCGCCACTGTGCCAGGCTCAGACTGCTTCCTCTGACAGCTTTCTTGGCTCATTGTCCCCACACAGCCAGTCACAGCCTAGCCAACTGGCTTCCCAGTCTCTTGTGAGCAGCTGCTGCTCCGCCCTGGAGCCCGAGCGGGGAGCGCCCAGGCTGCCTCTCCTGTGGTGAGCCATGGCATCTGGTCCAGACTACGGAGAAACCGATGCACAAACGTGCCCTAAAGTCCCGGAGAAGCGGAGGCCAAGCCTCTGTCTTGCTGCCTCCCCATAACCTGGTGCCCTGAGCAGGCTCTCTGCCAAGTTGCCAATCTCCTCCTTCCTGCCAGCAGCTCTTACTTCCTATTAAGGAGGCAAGAGGATGAGGTAGAAAAGTCAAAATCCATACTTTTTTATGAGGGCGAAGTAGTTGAGAGACTCGACAGAGCTGCTCTGGGAAGACACTTGGGCCTTGGCAGCAGCCGTAGGCCAGGCAGTTAGCCCGGGCTCTGGAACACAGGGCTGCAGACCCTTGACCAGACATTGTGTCAGGCTGGGCATATTTTCCTAGGAATGGCAGAACGGCTTCTTCAGGGTCACTACTTACCCACGGGGTTTCATTTGCCGGTCCCTGTGTCCTGTAGTCCACCTTTCTCTTTGAAACAGGACATTAGTGTGGGAAGCTATGATAGAACACCGTGGGTGGCATCCCGGGTGGGCTGCGTCCCGGGTGGGCTGCGTCCCAGGTGGGCTGCTTTGGCACTACCGCAGTTAGGTTGGAACAGACAACCCTTGTGGAACAAACCTGGGTCGCCTCCCAGCTATTGAGTTTGTCCCCATCCCGGGCTTTTAAGTGCTGCGTATGAGGGAGGCGGGCTTTGCAGTGCTGAGAGTGGAGTCCCAGACGGGGACTTGGGGCTCGGAAATCTGAGCTCACCGCTTCTCACCGCACATGGCCAGTGTCACGGGAAGGCCCAGCTCCCAGCCGAGTATGGTACCTTGTGCACTCGGCAGCAGGGGCCTTCCCTGGACCTGAGGAATCACCCTTTAAACAGCAGAAAGGTAGCCACACTGCGGTCAGCCAGGGCTTAGGGAACACGAAATCAGATGGCTGGGCAACCAGAAGAGCCTAGCACAAGTCACACAGGTGGCCACCAAGGAAAGACCTGGAAAAGCCAGGCCCTCGAGTGGAAGTCGCTTGAAATTTGCTATTCAGGTTAATGTACTGAAACTGCACATCGTTTATTTTCAAAACAAATGCATTCAAAATTACTTATGTAATTTCGTCCCTGATGGACCTCGTCTCACGCGTGGTTCTGTGGCTGGGTGGACAGAAGCTAGTGAGGAGCATGCGCAATGCTCAGAACGGGGTTTCTGGGTCAGGCTGTCCCACATCTGTACGTACCGCGTCTGCGCTGCAGGGCCTGGGTCAGCCGCCTCGTCTTCCTGAGCCTCTGCTTCTTTAACTGTGTCTTCCTCTGAGGTGTGCTCTGAAGAGTGCATAGGACATATTTTGAAGCACCTGCCATAGAAATGTTGTCCGCACAATATTTGCTTCATTTCAAAGAAATATACTGAAATCACCTGACTTGGAAATGGCAGACCTCAGATTGATTTAAACCCGCACTGTCTGCTGGTCTCCAAAAACCATGCTGCTTGTGTGGAAGGATTAAAAAATATTTATGGAAGCCCACAGTGTGTCGGGTCAGGAGGTTAAAATATTTAACAAGCCGCACAGCATCATGGCTGCCCTGACTCCAGTGGATGAGGGCCGCTGGAATCAGCATCTGTCAGGCTTCAGGGAGGGCAGCAGGCATCGCAGCAGGCGTTTCAAGCCTGCTGAGCAGGAAGGAACTGCTTAGATAGGTGTGCAAGGGCTGTAGTGGTTGACACATTGTGTCCACTTGGCTGGATTGAATCCTTGTGCTTCCAGCCTGTAACCCCCACATAGGGCCCACCCTGGGGCGCAATTGGTTCTGCCCTATGGTGTGACGGTGTGACGGGGCTGCCCCAGAGTGACTAAGCATGAAGAGACCACACAGTTCTTCTGAGGAAGAACTTCAGTCTTCAGAGCACTGCAGTG